TTGTTTCTGCCTCGTGCGGGAATCGAACCCGCGCCACAGAATTACGAGTCCTGCGCGCTATCCACCAGGCTACGAGGCCCCCTGTGTGTGTGTGTGTGTGTGTGTGTGTGTGTGTGTGTGTGTGTGTGTGTGTGTGTGTGTGTGTGTGTGTGTGTGTGTGTGTGTGTGTGTATGTGTGTGTGTGTGTGTGTGTGTGTGTGTGTGTGTGTACTCACCTAGTTGTGCTTGCGGGGGTTGTGCTCTGGCTCTTTGGTCCCGCCTCTCAACCGTCAATCAACAGGTGTACAGGTTCCTGAGCCTATTGGGCTCTATCATATCTACACTTGAAACTGTGTATGGAGTCAGCCTCCCACACCGCATTCCATTTGTCAACCACTCTGACACTAAAAGAGTTCTTTCTAATATCTCTGTGGCTCATTTGGGCACTCAGTTTCCACCTGAGTTTCTTAGTGCGTGTGCCCCTTGTGTTAAATAGCCTGTCTTTATCTACCCTATCAATTCCCTTCAGAATCTTGAATGTGGTGATCATGTCCTCCCTAACTCTTCTGTCTTCCAGCGAAAGACAGACCTGTGTGTGTGTGTGTGTGTGTGTGTGTGTGTGTGTGTGTGTGTGTGTGTGTGTGTGTGTGTGTGTGTGTGTGTGTGTGTGTGTGTGTGTGTGTGTGAGAGTGTGAGAGTGTGAGAGTGTGAGAGTGTGAGAGTGAGAGTGAGAGTGAGAGTGAGAGTGAGAGTGAGAGAGAGAGAGAGAGAGAGAGAGAGAGAGAGAGAGAGAGAGAGAGAGAGAGAGAGAGAGAGAGAGAGAGAGAGAGAGAGAAATGTATGTAGTAGGTATGGTAGAGGAAAAAACAGGTCGAGAGTCAGCATATTAATAGACCACCGACGGTTAGAAAGGCGGGGTTCAAGAGCTAAGAGCTCGATCCTGTAGGCACAAATAGTAAACACACTCACGCACGTATTGGTGACAACAAAAGGGGGCCTCTGGGAGCCATGCTCACGACATATGCGAGACCCATTGTGTAACCCACCTCCCCACGGTACAACCCCTGAACCATCAAACCAAACTAGGAAGAATGGCTGAGGAAGCGGAACCTCGCCGCACTTGAAGATAGTGGGTATCGAGGAAACGTGATAACGACATATAAAATATTTAGGAGAAATTGATTCGGTTGATGATGATGACACGTTCAGCACAAGTAGCTAATATTTTCTCATGAATATGTCACATTCTCGTGATTCTCATGAGGTCATTATCTGACATTCTCATCTACTTTAAACATGCGGTTTAGTCCCACACGACATTCTATACATGTCGGAGCCTAGAAGATCACGTAAGACTAGAGAAAAGAGTAAGGGGGGAAGAACCAACCTAAGAGCCAATCGGGAAGGACCTCTGAGATAGTCAGAATCTGCATCTCTCTTACTCCAGCCGAACAAACCTGAAAGACAAAAAAATAGGTATATAAGTATGCGAACAAGCTTGAATGGTCCCCAGGCATATATGCAACTGAAAACTCCACACCCCAGACCGTTAAGGCACCGTGTACAGCAGTTGCAATGTGCTCCTGGCGGTCCGGGTTCGAGTCACTTCTGGGGTGTGGAGTTTTCAAGTACAAGTACATAAGTATAATCCTCAAAATCCCAATCTTTTATCCTAGCATTTCCTCTCCTTTATATTCCATACATGTTCCCGAATTCCTGACAACTATTTTACCTTCCCTTCTCAATTTGTCATATTTGTATTTCCCTTTCTTTCATTTGCCTTTCCTTTTAGTTTGTTTTGTTCGCTGCTTCTTTTTTTTATTCATTTCCGTTTCCGTCTCTCCTTCCCCTCTCTCCGTTCTCTCCCCTCCCGTCCCCTCCCTCACCCCCAACCAACAACGCATATCGACAAATAATACTATCTGTCCAATACCTACAACGTCCTCCTCGATATTTCACGAGCATGTTGGGGAGGGAGGGAGGGAGAGAGGGAGAGAGGGAGAGAGGGAGAGAGGGAGAGAGGAGAGAGAGGAGAGAGAGAGAGAGAGAGAGAGAGAGAGAGAGAGAGAGAGAGAGAGAGAGAGAGAGAGAGAGAGAGAGAGAGAGAGAGAGAGAGAGAGAGAGAGAGAGAGAGAGAGAGAGAGAGAGAGAGAGAGAGAGAGAGAGAGAGACAGAGGGGGAGTGGGAGAGGGGATCTTAACATCATTAAATGAATGCTATCCTAAGAGCCGAATCCTTACCTTGCGGTTACCATGTGATGATTTCGGGGCTCAACATCATCGAGGCTCGGTCCTCGACCAGGCCTCCAGGTTGCTGGACTAGTCAACCAGGCTGTTGGACTAGTCAACCAGGCTGTTGGACGAGGCTGCTCGCAGCCTGACGTATGAATCACAACCTGGTTGATCGGGCGTCTGATGTTGATAGAGTTCTCTCTCAGAGTACCTGTTGCATCTCTGCTCTTCAACGGGGGTATTCTGCACATCCTGCCATGTCTTCTGGTCTCATGTGATGTTATTTCTGTGTGCAGGTTTGGGACCAGCCCCTCTACTAATTTCCATGTGTAAATTACTATATATCTCTCCCGTCTGCGCTCAAGAGAGTACAGATTTAGGCTCTTTAGTCGGTCCCAATAGTTTAGATGTTTTACTGAGTGGATTCTAGCAGTAAAGGATCTCTGCACGCTCTCCAGGTCAGCAATTTCTCCAGCTTTGAAAGGGGCTGTCATTGTGCAGCAGTACTCCACTCTAGAGAGCACAAGCGTTTTGAAAAGTATCATCATCGGTATAGCATTTCTAGTTTGAAAGGTTCTTGTTATCCAACCTGTCATTTTTCTTACAGTTGAGACGGCTACTTTATTGTGTTCTTTAAAGGTAAGGTCTTCCGACATAAGTACACCCAAATCCTTTACATTGCTTTTGCGTTCTATGGTATGATTTGGCTGCGTTTTTTGTACGTGGTTTCAGTTTTTATATTTTCATTTTTTTCCGTAGCGCGGGAGCTGATATAAGAGATGAGAAGATATCCTAAAAGTCATAAACAACTGGGTTGCTGCAAAGAAGAACGTTAAGATAATCCTCCCACTAGAATATGAATAAATGCAGAAACCATCTTGAGGTTATCTTGAGATGAATTCGGGGCTTTTTTTTTAGTGTCCCCGCGGCCCGGTCCTCGACCAGGCCTTCACCCCCAGGAAGCAGCCCGTGACAGCTGACTAACACCCAGGTACCTAATTTACTGTTAGGTAACAGGGGCATAGGGTGAAAGAAACTCTGCCCATTGTTTCTCGCCGGCGCCTGGGATCGAACCCGGGACCACAGGATCACAAGTCTCGCGTGCTGTCCGCTCGGCCGACCGGCTCCCCATCAAGTAGGATTCGTATTTGAGA